CCGAGAAGCGGCCACGCGCTGGTAGGAGCTTCCACACGCCAGTGGAGTATTCCACGCGCGTGACACGCGCCCCACATGAATTCGGGTCGGGTCGACCCGTTTTCACAGTCAACCGGGTCAATCCCGACCCGAGTTTGTCCCATTGACTTGTTGACCTTACGGGTCGGGTGTTGACCGGGTTTGACTGATCTGTTTGGTCTTATGGGTCAGGCGTTGACTAGGTTTGACTAACCCGTTTGATCTTATGGGTCGGGTTTGACTAATTACCGGGTTTGACTAACCCATTTGGTCATATGGGTCGGGTCCATGGGTCAACTTAACCCATTTTTATTTTGGTTATGGGTTGGGCCGGATAGGACTATATTGGGCTTGTGAATATAGTTAACACAAAAGCAAAATTAGCCTAGTGGTTAGGGAATTGGGCTTCAACCATGGAGACTTGGGTTCAAGTCTCACCAACCACGTTTATTGAATTTTTTTTCAAAAGGAAGTAAAACAGAAAAAAACGACATGTCATTCATAAGGTTTGATCGAAAACGACATGTCGGTTCTTGTCGTCTTCAACCTCTGTTCGGGTCTGGTAGCCGACCCGGAAAACAACCCATACGAAACCCGAAACTTCAAAGAGGCATATCTAAGTCATTTTAACTCCATTTTTTTATGATTCAAAAACCATTTTCTTCATAATTTCATAAGGAATTTAATGGTCTAATTATCATTACCAAAAAGACAACTTTTTACGTACAAAATTTGAAAAAATCAGAACTGCATTTGATAAACCAATAACATGCTTCAACATAACAGTATGAATTTAAAACAATATGAACCACGGCTCTGATACCATTGTTGGAAATAAAATAGAATAACATATATCCTAACATAATCCCAAGATCATAGTCACCATTGCAATCACATTTGTATATAATTGAACTACAATGAATTAACACAGCATAAATACCTCTTTTCCTTATCTCTGAAGCAACAAAGTTAATCTGGAAGAAAACCATGAAGTGTATTTCTGTTTTCCAAATTCTAGAGAGAGAGAGCGTACTTTTTCTTTGAATATATGAGAGTGACAGTGAGTAACATTTTCTAAGAAGAAAAGTTTTCCTTTTATATGGGAGCGGTTCGTGAGAAACTGCCTTTGGCAGTTTCCACTTCTCACGTCCCTTCATCATGGGTGGACTTTATCTAAACATATTTTAAATAAGAGCAAACGGGAACTTATCCAATAGGTTTAAATATAAAATCTATGGATTATTAATTCAAATTTTCATACACTCATGTTTGGTTAAATAAATACAATCTATGGATTTGATAAATAATTTCTAACTTTACCCTCAATATTCAAAACTAACAAAAATTCAACTTTAATCTAATTAAATACAAGTTAAATTATATTTGATNTCCAAGTGGCGCACAAACCAAAAATCAAGTGTGACCCTAATCCATTTTAGAATAGAATTAATTGGTTTTATTTATTTAATATAGTTATTGTAATTTTGCTTATCTAGATTTCATGAAGAAATAGACATTGGCGACAACTAGCAAAATTACCAAAGTACTATTTCCCTATGAAAAGACCAAAATACCATTTTTCTTGCAAAAATAACAAAATACCCTTTTGAACCCAATCCGGAGTGCCACCTGGCCAAGGGGCCAAGTATAGGGTTGACCAGTCTAACCAATTAAACCAACGGTCTAACCCGTGACCCAAAAGTTTGAAACCTTGAAAAAACACCCTTAAAAAGTACAAATCAATCCCTACAAGTTTGAAATCTTATAAACAGACCCCTGTGACAATTAGGGTTTTGGTTTCTCTGGCCACATTCTGGTTGATTCTGATTGCCAAAATTCAATCCGACATCACCACCTAAACCATCAACCTCCACTCTACAAAACCCCTTTACTCCAAGCACTTGATAGCCCCTCGTTCGTCGGTCGTGACTTGAGTATTGGGTTAATTTTTTTGGCCAAATTCCGGCTAATTTCAGGGTCTAAAATTCAATCCGACACCACCCGTTGAACCACCGGCCTCCACTCTACAAAACCCCACTAACTCCGACACTTGATAGCCCCTCGTACACTGACATTCAAATTAGGGATTTGGTGAACAATTGAAAATAGTAAACCAAACCGAAAAGGGCACTGGTCACCGGCCAATCTGGTTCGATGTTTAGAACATTACCAAAAACTACTTCCTTGATCAAATATATGTTCCGGAGTTCAACTAGTCTTATGTGTGTGACCCATAGGCTCTCTATCATGTTGGTAGTGAGTAGTATCGTGATTGACCACCAATCAATCGTCTCACTACACACGAACCAAGATTGACCTCTAGCAAGACATCATGGCCACCCGACATATAAAGATCAACAAAGAACTGATACTTGTCAATAGTATGGTTACCGTGCAATCTAATCCTATCATCATCCGTAATCTCATCAAGGCTAAAGTATAGAAATAGTGTCATCCTCATATTACATCCTTGATATTTTGGTGTTTGGTTATCAAACAAACAGTCGAACTAAAATTGGATTTGAGTAACAACTCAATTCCACTGTAGTCATAGATTTGTAGTCATTGCCAATTAGCCAAACTGCTCAGTGAGATAATAACTCCTGTAGCTAGGAATGATGAATCATTTATCGATCTACCATAGCCATAGTGTACTTCATAATGTAGCCAAACACGATTATATTGATAACCTTAAAAAGGACTACATTAGGCTAGTGTCAAACTACACAAATAGGCACACACGATGTTCTAGTGATCTCAATTCTAAGGATCACATGCACCATCTGTAAGAAGATTTGTTCCATAGACACTAGGGTTACCATCTATAGTAAACTTGCTAATCAACAAGCATCCACGCGTTGCACCAGGTTATCACCAAACAACCTTGACATGTGAGATTTGTCACTACCTTTCAGTAGGGGCATTCAATGCTGATGCGAATTTGCCAATTAATCTTCACGTGGACTTAGAAAATTGCAAAAGAGAAACTACTCCAAGGTTTGGAAGCAATTCGACCCATCTTGAAGCCAAAATGCAAAACAATTTCAAGCTCTCCAACAATTCGCCCTAAGTCATGAAGATAGAGCAAAGTGAGTCCTCTTGACTCAATGCAAGTCCAATCCGTCCAAATCACTTATTAGTTGAATTCTTGAGCCCTAATCCATTATTTGGGCATAATGTGATCACACGTTCAAGAAGGGAAAAAGAATTCAAATGTTAGTCACTTATTAGCACACGGGAACAATTAATTCAAGGAGACAAAGTTTTTTTTTTTTTTTTTTTTTTTTTGGACGGGGTATTCAGGCTAGCTGTAACACCTCAACTAATTCTCAGAGCCTATTAAATACCATACAAACCTAATGTTTCAAATAAGTAACAAAATAGGTAGGTGATCCCAAGTCGAATGGAGGAAGTCAATGAAGGGAGCAAACCTTCTTGACTGTTGGCGAACCCCTTGCGGTTCAAAGAGACAACGTTATGACGTTATGACATAGGTGGCTTAGACTTTCAAATTCGGCAAACACAAAGTTGTTTATGTTGGCGGCTCCTCGTCCCCTTACACTTTGGGAAAGTTAATGAATTATAAATTCTCCTTTTGTTTGGTGTAATGAATCTAGGATAGCCTTTTATTATAACCCATGTGACCTGGTAATGTGTATTGACTGTAATTTCTTTTGGAAGCCACTGTACACTTTCATGTATCTCTTTTGTTGTGCACCTTTGTAAGGCCATATATAAGGCCGAATTTTCCATTGTAATGGTTTATTTGTATGAATGAAACCAAGTCTTTAAGAGAGCTTTTACCTATCCTTTACCCAAGTTTTAGCCTAGATTGGTTGTAGAAATCCAAACTGGTGGTGTTGCCTTTTAAGTTTGGAACTCTTGGCGGGGACTTGCCTTTTAAGCCTAGAGGTTTGGCTGTTTGTGTTTGCTTATTTGTATTGTTGGATTTGTGATTGTTGTGTGGTTGAAGTATTGTTAGAGTGATTTTATTATGTTGTTGAAGTAGTTAGGTGCTTATTGTTTGTGAGTTTCAGCTGTTGCAGATCAAGTGTTGTTTATCTGTGTAGTTTGTGTTTAGCGCCGATTTAACTCACTCTTGTTTGGTGCAATTGATAAAAAGCTATGATAGTCTTACCGTATATAGCATCTTTTATAGAATAATACTTAGGTACGAATGTTTCTAGAATGGTCACCATAAGTGCTCATAGATTTCTCACTATTAAGATTTGGACACTTGACTCTCGTCATAGTTCTATCATCCTAAGGACATATATTATAATATATAATTAAATATGAATTATACGATATAAAATTATCTTAATAATTAACAAACATTATACAAAAGAGTCAAAAACAACAAATGGATTGACTCTAGTGCACTTGCTGTGACACTGTTACTAAAATAACACGAGTAATAGTGATGGAAGTGGTCACAAGCTTACTCGAACTACAGTGGTAACTCTTTAAACAAAGAAAATCAATTTATTTTAAAGAAAAAATTATATTAAGTGATTTTAAATGAGTCATAAAAATAAAAAAAACCATTTAAAATCAAATAATAATTCAAAAATTAAAAAAAAAAAAAACTCATTCGTTGAATGCAAATTTCACAATCTTCTGTTACAAGAAAATTTTAATTCATATTAATATTTATCTTAAATATATATTCATAGATATCAAAAAAATATATATATTTTTTGTTTCATCCTTTCCTAACATTAAAATTTTTGTTTTGTCACCATCACCCTCTGACAAAGAAAAACAATAAATTTATATATGATAAAACAACTACAATTTGTTTCATTTTTACTCAATTAGTAAAATATCTTGAGTAAAATTTTTGTTATTTCGTAATACCTCGAGACATTAATCTTTAAATTAATGGTAATTTTTTCCTCATTTTACTCGGTTTCCCAGTCCAATCTTAATCATTAAAAAAAAGAAAAAAGAAAAAAAAAGCAAATGGAGGCATGGAGCAATTCAGCAAATAAAAATGGCAGACAGAAGTGTACTAATTAATTAGGTTCAAACACGTAAGAAAGATTTTTACAGAGCACCAATGTTCTTGAGGCCAAGAACAACCCCAACCCCAATGATGTGACCAACAGAACCACAAGCCAAGGTGTCAGCCAGTGTGAACCCGGCCGGGTCTCCAGTTTGCAGCCCTGAATCCCTCACTTCAAGCTTCAATCCTGCTGTCGACTTCCTGTTTGCCGATGGTGCCAACCCAAATCTTCCCGCAAATAGCATTAGGCTTGTAGATGTCACCATAATCTATTCACAAAACCAAACAATCGATCACTTTCTAAACTTTAAATTACTCAAACAACTTCATATTACCAAATATTGTTACCAAGTTTGTGGGTGAGCCAATGAAGCCACAGCGAGCCCCCAAAGCTCCCTTGCCCTTCTGCCTCATTGGTTGAACTGCCACCTACACAATCACAATTAATTGAGCCTCTCGAATGATAAAAAAAATCGCATCAACTAGCTTCATTGTTATTGCTTCTCGAAGATTGCGGGGTTTGGTGGACGCAAGTGCCGGGGATTTCTGGATTCCTTAAAAAAAAAAAAAAAAAGCGCTGAGCAAGTAAAGAGAAGAAGCACTGACCAGACTTTGTACTGGGGCGGGTGAGACTTGGGGTCTTAGCCCACTGAAATGGGGAAGAGTTGTCATAACAGAAGTGGCCATTTTCTGCTTCTAAGGAGAATTGATCAAAGAAGAAATGTGATGGATTCACAATTTTTTATTTTCAGTGGGAATATAAAAAAGGTGAGGAAGGAGATTTGCATGGTGTCCACATGAGCAATTTGTGGCTTCAGGATGCTAGAATTGGATACACTTGGATTCTTGTTACTGACTTGGCATTATGTCATTGGGTTTCTTTATTGGATAATGTTTTGGGTGTTTCTCTAATATTTTGCTGTGGATTGATGGTTTGGGCTGGATCTGTTAGGGTTTATTGGGCTTTTCTGTTAAACTTGGTAGGTCCAATACTCTATTTGCATGCTACTACTCAACATCTCGTAAGAAAATTAAAAAGATTTTATGAAATCAATCTTATGATTTGGTAGGAAAAGTGAAAGGATCTTAAGTTCTTCATATTAGGGATGGAAACAAAATCCATTTGGGTTGGGTTCACCCTACTCCCGAGTGAATTAGGTTCATATGGGGTAAACTCATTGGGATGATAATGGGTGTGGAGTGAATTGGTGTACTTCATTAGTAAAATCATTCATTTTAATTTATTAATAAAAACATATCATTATTTTTGTTTTAAATAAATTTAACATAAGTTAACAAATAAACCACCATCATATCACAGTTGCCGTCTAGATCTGGCAATGGCTCATATTCAAATGACTTCGCGTTGATTATTTTATCGTGTTACCAAGATTAACCCATTAAAAAATTTCCCCAATTTTTGTTTTCTTTTCTAGGCCTCGTTTGGATTGAGAGATTTTAAAATCTTTAGATTTTGTACAATCCATGGATTCCATGGATTTAAAATCCATGTATTTGATAAATTTCATTGTTTGGTTTTGTTGGAAATAAAATAGAATAACATATATCCTAACATAATCTCAAGATCATAGTCACCATTGCAATCACATTTGTATATAAATGAACTACAATGAATTAACACAGCATAAATACCTCTTTCCTTATCTCTGAAGCAACAAAGTTAATTTGGAAGAAAACCACGAAGTGTATTTCTGTTTTCCAAATTCTAGAGAGAGAGAGCGTATTTTTTCTTTGAATATATGAGAGTGACAGTGAGTAACCTTTTCTAAGAAGAAAAGTTTTCCTTTTATATGGGAGCGGTTCATGAGAAACTGCCACTTCTCACGTCCCTTCATCATGGGTGGACTTTATCTAAACATATTTTAAATAAGAGCAAACGAGAACTTATCCAATATCTCCCACTCACACATAATGGGACTATCTCTCTCTATGCTTCTTTAAGGTTCATACCTTAGTAAATATGCCGTGTGACCATGCATACATCGAGAGCACGTTAGTCATATATCTGTTAGGAATATACAACTTCTCGAATTGTGAAACTCAGGTTGTATGTTGTATGTAATACCCTAGATTACTTATCACATTTTTCTAACAATCTCATTTACAAAAAAAATATCCGTTGTATTCATAATTATGTTCTATCTTTACATAAAAGTAAAACATAATTGGTCGACCAATGAATACACGTGATTATAGTGTGATAATTCAAAATCGTAATCTTCCTCTTTTCTCGATTTTGCAACTTTCCTTTAACTGCTTTTCTAGAAAGTCCCAGCCGATTGAATTTATCTTAATCCTTTGGTAACACTCTAATAGCAATCATTAAATGAAGTTTCAAGAAACAGAATAGAGTATAAGGGTATTCTATTATTTTATTCACAAAAAAAACTCAGGGTTCACACAATGTTAAAGTTGAGATTTGACTTTCATTACCCTTTGGTCAAGTTTTGCACTGTGGTATAAATCACATGTACAGCATTTCCTCCTTTCCTATGGAGTGCATGTCTCTTTCTTGTAAATGCTGTACAGATTTTAGTTCAGATATACCTAATGTCTAACTTGAGTTCACTTTACATACTTTATTCATCAGAACTCTAATCTGGCAATTAGACAGTAAAGTGATCATTTATCACTTGTGGTACATTTCATTATGACATTATTTTAATTCTATTTTCTAGGTGAGTTAAACATTTTAAGCTGGCTCTCATTATCACCTAGATAATAAGCTTAAAATCGTTATCTCCATTCTTACGAAGTAATGGAGGCGTTGCCTGTGTGAGAGGCCAATCTTTTAGCTGTCCAACATGCTTTTCAAAAAACATATATATAATATTTAATAACTAATATGTATATATAATATAACTCTTCATGTATGTTCCATAATAATTAAATTGAGCATTGCAATATTGTTATTAATATTGATAAGACAAATGTGAACAATTTGGGAAATCCAAAGTATAAGTACATTCAACACATACGTAAGCCTAGAGATCTAACATGTCTATTGAAAGTATCTCTTGGTATAGGCTTTGTGAATGGATCCGCAACATGTCATGCGTAGATTGTACTTCAGTTCACCTTTTGTGCCCACAGTCTCGCACAAAATTATATTTGATTCTAATGTTTGTTTTACCATGATTTGGGATCCTTAGTGTATGCTATTACTGCTGACTATCACAGTTTATTTATGGGTCAATAGCAACATAATTATTCCCAGATGATTCAACGTCTTAACAAACGGCTTCTTGCACTGCAGCTGAAAATGTACAAACTCACCTCCATTGTAGATAAGGCTATGCATGATTGTTTCCTACTGTCCAAGATATGGCCCCACCATTTAGTAAGAAAACATATCCAGAGAGATTTCTTTTCATCAAATCTCCTCCTCAATCAGCATCGGTGTAGCCTCTCAAGTGTAAATCATTTCCTTGATAACAATAATGAGTATCAGTTGTCCCTTTTAGATATCTTAAGTTCTCTTCACTGTTTTCAATGTGTTTGTCCTGGGTCGGACTGGTATCTACTTACCAACCCAACGACATAACAGATGTTGGCTCTAGTGCACATCATGGGTACATGAGACTTCCAACAGCACTTGTATAAGGAACATTCTTCATTTGTTCCTTTCTTGTGAGTCTTCGGACTATTTTACGACTTAAAGTCTGCCCTTCGCGAAGGGGTGTTTGGGTTTACAATCTTGTGAAATCGTTCAAAAATTTTCTTAATGTATGGTTCTGTGAAGAGATACTAATTTTCTAAGCGATCTCTTGGAATCTTGACTCCAAGAATATATGCAGCCTCACCCATATCTTCATCTCAAAATGAGATGATAACCATCCTTTGATTTCATGACAAATCTTATCATTTCCAGCATATAGTATATCATCAACATATAATGATAAATAACAAATTGTTATTGGATCTCTTTGTATATCACAATGATCTTCATTTATCATTTTGAAATCAAACGACATTATCACATTATGAAATGAATATACCACTGTCTTGAGGACTGCTTGAGGCCATAAATTGACTTTAAAAGTCTACACACTTTGTGTTATTGACCTTCTTTAATAAACCTATTGGTTGATCCATATAGATTTCTTCTTGTAATTCTCCATTGAGAAAAGCAGTCTTTACATCCATTTGATGCAATTCAAGATCCATGCTAGCAACTATAGCTAGAATAGCGGATTGAGGTAAATTGCATAACAGGTGAAAAAGTTCTTTCATAATCTATTCCTTCTGTTGTGTATACCCTTCGCGACAAACGAGCTTTGTATTTTCAATACTGCCATCAACTTTACGCTTGATTTTGAGAACCCACTTGTGCCCAATGGCTTTGCGTCCTTTCGGTAAATCAACCAATTCCCATACTTGGTGATTTCATAGACTCCAATATTCTTCCATTGCTTTCATCCATTTTCCTTAGAGGGCGATTGAGAGCCTCCTTTACATTGCTTGGCTCTTCGTCATCTTGTGGAGTAACTAGAAAAAATTCCCTCAATCTCAAATTGTCGATGTGGAACTTGTTTCCTGTTTGATTGACGTATTGGAGATTGATGGTGTTACTCCACTTGGACCAGTATCATAGTTGGATCGCTAGTAGGGAATGATGGAGGATCTGAAACTGATTCATCAACTTCCATATTGCTCCCACTGGGATGAAGTATAACCAACTGATTGTCGGCAACAGAATTGCCTTGGTCTTGTGTTTCATAGAAACAAGTCTTTACCTATTTCGCCCTTTAGGAAAATCGGTTTCTAAGAATTTGACATCTCGGATTCAAAACTCAGTGATGTTACCACTTTTGTTCTTCTATGAAGACGTATCCCTTTGAATGTTCTGAATATCTTATGAAGACAGTTCTTCCCCCTTGGACCAATTTTCCATATTTATGGGAAGGATCATGAACATAGGCAGCACATCCTCATGGCTTTAGGAGAATCAAATGGGTTCGATTTGTCCATAACTCATATGGTGTAGTAGTAATAGATTGGATGGTACTCGATTGAGGATAGTGGCAACAATAAGGCATCACCTCAAAAGGTGATGGGCAAGTTTGCTTGTGCCATCATAGACCTCCATCTCAAGTAGGGTTCTGTTTCTTCGTTCTGCAATACCGTTTTGTTGCAGAGTTTGGGATAGTTAATTGACGTTATTCCCATTTCATCAAAAAAATTCTGAACTGTCAGATAAATATCACATCCTCGCGTCGGTTGTAGAACTTTTATCTTTTATCTAATGATTCTAACAAGTTTTTAAACTTTGAAAGCATTCTAAAGCTTCTGATTTTTGAGAAATCAAGAAAACATAACCATATCGAGTGAAATCATCATAAATGGGATGAAATAAACAGCCCCATGTCTAGCCCTCACATTCATTGGACCACATGTCAGAATGAATTGTTGCAATGGAACTTCAGCTCTTATCGCTTTTCCAAATGGTTTTCTTGCTTTTTCCAGCTAGGCAATGTTCACAAGTAGTCAAGTCTACTTTTGTTAAGGATCAACAAGCCTTCTCTTGCTAGTATATTCATTCGTGTGGCCAATATGGCCAAGCCTTGCATGCCATACATTCACATCATCATTATTAGAAGATATAATAAAGGAAAAACAAACATTACTATTATTATAAGCAACATCAAGTACTATAAACCATCAAAAATAACCACAACCATAGTATGTTGGTCCAAAAATAAATGGACACCAGTACTGGAAAAA